ATAAAGTAAATATTTGTCCCTATTAAATTTGTAAAAAATTTCTGAAAGGTCGAAAACTTTATCCTTACGTTCGTAGTGATGTTACAAGTGAAATTGAAATCTATGATTAATATGGAAGAGTGTTTGGGTGCTAAATTATGACAGAGTAAATTCATTAAAAACAATTTATGTTGTAAAAATAGTGTGTTGCATAATGAAAGCTGTGTTAGAATTATTTACTTTTCAAAAATTAAGTTTTTTCGATTAGAAAGATAAAAATAATCCTTTGAGAAAATTTCAATTGTGTGAAGTAATCCCATCCGTCATCTTTAATGAGCCGTATTCCATTTATCATTATCATTATAAACAAATACTGTATATTTTGAATCGAATTAGACTAAATAGAAAAACAACAAATGAGAGCCTTGTATTTTTTCGTTCGGATGATTTAATATTTGCTGAGTTAGTACTGAGTTTTCTCTGAGTTAATACTGATTTTATGATCTTTGTTTCTTCGTTTATTACACCACATCTTTATTATTTTCCTTTTTAAGATTATTCGGAAAAATTTTTAAATTCAACTCTCTATATAATAATCATACGATGTTCGTTCGAAAAATCAAACAAATCAAAAAAATCAAAATCAAAATCAAAATCAAAATTATGAATTTATTACCCGACACAATAAAAGAGAATATTTTTATATTCACTCTCAAACCTCTTTTCCTAATTTTGCTCGATAAAAAATGGTACGAAATATCGTGCGAATCAAGAATTCGAGCAAAATGGGTAATTCAAAATTACGGAAAAGCAAATGCCTTATTTCATGCAATTCGATTCAGAGAGAATTTTATCTCAAAGGAGTTGGTCGTTTTTCTCATCACGGAAGAAAAAGTGAATTTATCTAGATATTTTACACAACGGTTGCTTTTACAGTTTGGGAGAAAAGATGATAGTCAAAATCAATAGTGACATCAATATCACTATAAACAATAACTATAACATCGATAACAACAATAATGCAAATAACGCGTTCAAAGTTACACAAAATTATTTTAGAAATCCATGGGCTTCGAATATTCCATTGGATATATTCAGCTATTTGTTAATTGAGGCCGAGGTCCGGATCTTCCATTAAGAGGGAATGATATTGAATTGTTTTGTTATTTAACAGGTGGAAAATTGGCTAGAGATTTAGCACCAGAAAAATTAAAAGAAAACATTGAAGAAATTAAGGATCTTATACTTAACAAAAAATTTGTACCTTTTCCCCCAAGACCAACGATTTTATTTAAACACGATCAAATAGCAAATAGAAATGCAAATAATAAATTGTGAAAAATATCCAGCCAAAGATGGTTTTGAAAATAATGAGCAATTAAACATAATTGCCGGAGCAATATACTAATTTATCCAGAAATTGGGTTACACTGACATATGTATAGATGTCAATAATTTGGTGTTACAAGATTCTTTGATAATTCTATACCCCCAACTACAAATGATTTTGTTGAACGCATACAACAATTTATCAAGGTTGGATTCAAATTGACAAAATCTGTTATGACAGATATTTTATTTTTCTATGAACAAGATCTTACCAAATTTGGAGACTTGCTTATAGAAGTATTCCAAATAGTAAGGAACCAATCAAAAATCGAAATTGTTGGACATTTGCATTGTGGAAGCTATTAAAATCAACAGGAATTCGAAAAAAAATCAAGTTTTAGATTTTCTCAAGATTCAACTTAAAGAAAATGATTTAGAACCTGTTTATCTTGAAGCTTTAGTTTACCATTATTTTGGTGATACTACTAGAAACAAAATTTCCAAACTTGCCAACAATATCAATTTGACAAGCAACAAAAAAATTATTGATTATTACTGTACTTATGGCTACAAATATCATCCACATGATATAAGAACATTGAAATTAAGTAGCAATTTGTACAAATGGGTACTAAAAAATTTCAATCCTGATTCAATTGTAACGAGATTATGTTTCAATGATATAATTATATCCAAGACTTGGATTGACAAAGAATTGTTGCTACATCCTGAAAGAAAAACACCAGAAAAGATGACCACTTGTGCACTTGAACTGATCATATTTATTTACAATGAATTTTGTAAGAATAACGTTCCATTTGAGTTGGTACATTTGAGCTTATTAAAAAAATCAAATGATTTTACAACTTTGACACCATTCTTTGAAGGTTCTTGCCACAAATTTTTAATATTAACCCAACATTTGATTATTGTAATGACAATAATAATACCAAAAAAAAATGGATTAAAAATTGAGGAAAAAACAAAACTCTGGTTTATTGAATTGGGAAAAATTCATTATCAAATTAACACACAATTTAATGTCACCACCACACATAATCAGTTTACTATGAATTTCAAGATTTGCATGGAAAGGTTTTGGGATAGAATTGTGTTGGAGACTGATTACATTAACCAATTTCAATTTAAAAAAGAAAGATAAAAAATAATTGGAAGCTTGAAGGAAATGTTATTCTTCTATATCTTTATTATTATTATTTTATTATTTTTAAGATAACATATTAATATGTAATGGTTATTTCACGGAGATGAAAAAAGTTTATTTTACATAAAGTCTTTTTTTTTTGCTTACGATAAAAAATTACAATTTACCTTTTGCACCCCAAACAAGCATCTCAACCTATTTTACTAATGCAAGTTTGCTCCTTTCCCAAAAAGTTTCCGAGGCTTCGATTTCTACTTTACCAGTTGATTCTATTCCTCAAAGTATTTCAAATACTGAAAAATCAACTCGAAATTGGGTTACTAAATTTGAATAATTTCGCAAGAATTATAATTATAAGATTACGAATTCCAAATAAATTGAACAACAGGTCATAGAAGAATACAAGGTATTCGTGCGTATAAAGAAGTAAATGAAAAATAACATATTGCTGCTATGGATACTTTGATCCATGCTTTAGAACCATCAAGATCAATTCTTGGCGATTCAACTTCAATTAATAATTCTTTAAAAATAACACGAGATGTCTGTCTTCTTTCGATACCACCTTGATCTGATACTTTTTTAGCATAAAACCATCTTCTGTGTCCTCAAATCGTGAAATGAGCAAAGAATGTTGTTCACCATCTCTAGTACAACCAAGTAAACATATCCACGATAAAGTAAACCAGTTAGATTATTTGGAGAGCAAAAATTGTGATCCAATATTAATTTAACTTCTTGATTAGTTAAAGTATCATATGGTTTAGCTTCGCCTGGTTTTGTTTTCCGTTGTCCATCTAAAATACCATTTAATTTTGAAAAGGAGAAAGTACTTTTGATGAAAATCCGGAAATGAGGTTGCCAGGATATAAATTAGAATAAACATTCGGTTTTGCTTCTTGGTATCCTTGCAGTGGCAAAGAATTATTATCTAAATTCAGAATAGTATCACCAACTTTTACTTTTTTCATGTCCTGAATGTTGGCAGTAAAATCAACCGATTTCTCCCGCGACTAATTTGTCTTTTAAAACTTCTTTTGGGGTTGTTTATTTTGCATAAGTTGTATATAGCTCCAATCTTTTTTGACATTTCTGAGGTGTCAACTGATACTAGCAATAGCATTCTTAAGTGATGATTTAGAATATAGTTGTTTTTTTTTTTTTGGTTCTAACACTCGTAATAAATTCATTTACTACCTTTCGATTTTATCTTTACCATCTAAAGATTCAAGTAAATAGTTGTACCAGACTGCTTCACGCCAGTCATTTAAAATTTGCGTGTGATTTACAAATTATCTGAAGGAATTCTTAGTTGTTGTAACCTGTGTCTAATTCCCCTTGAGCTGGCTTAAAATGTTCAGAAATAGGCTAGTTTAAAAACAAATAGATGTCAAACATTCACGCATGCAATTATACAAAATTAATTAATGTATATTATCGAGGTAAACATGTTCCATTTTATTATATAATGAAAAAAACGCGAAAAATGCAATTATTTGAATTCGAACAGTCATCCGTCACACGATACAAAAAAGATCAAAAAATCGATTTTGACTAAACAAAAAGTTCACAAAACATTGTCTGGGTGTGTAACATGTGAATGGTATTTTTTTTTTGAATGGGTGATAAAGCATTACAATTGTGACGTTAAACTTTCTTTGTGACATAATGTTCTAAGCTGACTTGTGATATAAATTTTGTTTAATGCTGCTGTTATGGTATTTTACGTAATTATTAAAAAGCCCGTTCTGATGGAGGTCGGGTGTACATTGAACTTGAAACTTTCGACCCTCAAGTGCACCAATTAACATTAAATTTTAGCCTCCATGATAACGTGACATATCAATCACAGAATTGTATTCTAAAATCCTTAGATTTCAAACACATCCAATAAAATTTTGCGACTAAACATGTCATGTATAAAAAACCTTATTGTTTTTTTTT